GTCTGGTGGGGTTTGTGCTGTAACTGGCTGGCAAATATTCTATTTAGTGCCTCAAAAGAAAAGACCATTTGCATTTAAAACATTAATCCGTTTCTGTGATTTACACGTGAGCAGTTTTGAGGGGTTTTTTGTTTTCTTTTGGTGTAAAGCAAGAAAAATTCGTCCTCTGGAACAGTTTGGTAGAAACGCAATGGAAGAACCTCCTACTCCCATCCCAGTGAGTTCAACTGCAGTCAGACTGTGGTGTCCCCACCACTCAGACAGCAAAGATGCCCAGTAAAACTTGGCAGCTTCATCATTCCTCTTCATGTCTTGGAGAGTTTAGGGAAACCCTCCAAAATCTGTGAATTTACAATTCCACTGGGAAGTGTTTGGTGCTATTTGAAGTCTGGAAGGACATAAAGGAAAACTCAAAGAACACTTGGGAAGTGCTTGCTAAATTGTTAAAGTAAAAATAATCCCTGCAGGAAGAGTTGTCAGTGGGAGGATAAGGACTCAATATTTTGTCTGGTAATCCGAGGCCAGTGCCTGGGATCTGCTGTAAAACTGGGCACATAGGAAAGAGGTCAGATAACTCTGTCCTGGAGAAATTAGGAATGCTCAAGCAAGACCCCAACCTGCAAAGCCCTTTCTGAGGCCTCAGAGCCCATCTCTGACCATCAGCACCAAGGTGTGCAGGTAATGCCACCATGTCTTTAAACCATTATGGAGCTGGTTTGCTCTCTAACACCAACCAACCAAAGAAACACCTGTTTTTCTAATGAGATATTGGTCCTGTCATGATTCCCTTATGCTGTCTAAACCCAATGGATACTGTCTCCTGGGGACATTGGAAGCTGGATAGTTCTGTCTTGTCTTTTCTTAGTTTCAGCCCTGTGCCCAGGTGTTACGATGGATTGTTTTCTCTATGTATTAAACTGCTCTATAGTGATTATTCCAGATTTTGTTCTGCTTTGGGCTGCATTCATCCTTAGATTTTGCTGGGTTTTTTCACTTCATAAAAAAGCAGCTTGGTTGAAGGGCAATACTGAAGTGTCAATGTTCAATCCTCAGTGTTTTTACTGACCAAGTGCTGGGATTCAAGGTTGCATGTCAGGTCCAGTGTCTTATATCACAATAGAGATGTCCTATCAGAACAGTTTATTTGCAGGCACAGAGAAGTTGACTTGTCCAGAGCAAAGAATTCCTCAGGAATTCTGTCGACTGAGAAAAGTGAAAACACAACACCCAGTGATTCCAAGCCCTGCAAGTAAATTCCCTGAGCGCCTGTAATTGCTCTCCTGAGAGGTGTTGCTTACTGAAGGAGAGCTGACAAGGGTGTGGCTTCTTTTTAATTGCATGTTTGAACAAGGGATTAGAGAGTGGAGCAGCAGTGTCTTGTAAGGGATGAAAGGAAAGGGAGAGGGAAAGCACGACTGTTATGTAAACCATCCCTCCTCAGTGTCAACATTTTCTGTCTGTATTCCAGCTGAAGTGAAAATAGTCAAGGCCAAGCCCAGTGAAGTGCAACCTGATTGCAGGTCCAGGCGTTAGAATGGGATTTCTGGCATTCCAGGCTTTTGGCATCCCCTCAGCAGTTGGAATGACTGAGCAACCAGTGGGATTTTGGGTGTATGTCGTTGTCATTCCCCTCCCCCCTCGACAGAAAAAAAACAACAAACCAAAACTAATATCAGCAGCGATGAGAGGATGAGTCCCAGGTTATGATCCACACCTTCATCCTTCCAGGGACTGATCTGTTTTCCTCCAGGCAAAATTTAACCTGTGCTCCTTAGTCAGACCAACGGAGCAGGAGTGAAATTGTGGGTGTCATGCCTGTGGCATTCGGCTAAAGGTGAAACTAAATTGCTCTGATTTGTTTTTCAAACATAAGGATCTTGCTTTTCTTTCCTCAGAACCCAAAGAAGATTTCAGATTCTTGCAATAGGTTTGATCCCCATATGGGCCATTCACTTAAAAGCTGGACTCGATGATCCTTGTGGGTCCCTTCCAACTATTCTGGTGATTCTGTGGATGTGGCTGTGCCATTCTTCCAATAAATCTGTTCCATAGCAGCCCCTCTAGCTGATCTTATTTTACATGAAGTAGCTTTCTTTTTTCTTAGCCACAATTGTTTTCAATAATTATGTTTATAAGGAAGACTTTAAGAAGAAATGAAGGCACTTTATCTTCAGGAAAGCAGTTGGTTGTCAAGCTCAAATACATAACTTGGTAGATTTCTTAAACAGAAGGAAGAGAATTCAGCACAGAGTGAGTAGCTTTTGTTTCAAAAGCAGTGGAGGAGCTGTGGGTACCAGAGGTGCTCTTGGGAAATGAATGTGCGGCAAAGCAGCAGAACAAAAGTTGGTTTGTAGAGATCCTTCCTCACAGGTTTTTCAGTTATTGTCACCTTACACAAATAGCTGAGCAGGGCTCTCAAGTCCATCCCACTGCAGAACTCTCCGTGCTGGACTACAGTCTTGAATCATCATGCATATTATAATTTCAATTATCACAAAGGAAAGTAACTTAGCCAAATATGGATGGTCCTGTCATTCCTTGGATACAGTGGAAACAACGGCAGAATGAGCTGGTTTGGGTGCCTTTAGCAGCATTTTGGGAGTGTAAGTTGGGCTGTGATGTCACCTGTCTCTTCAGTCCCTCATCCCTTCTCTTGCAGTGTTGTGGGATAGGTTTGATCATGTGAGATCTTGTTCATAATCCAGGGAGTTCTTGCTGAGCAGCAATCCTGTAATTGTTTCCTTCTTTCCTTAAAATCCCATCAGCAGATTTCCCCCTTTGCTCTGCTGTGATTCTTGGTGTGAATTGCTTTAATTGCCATCAGTCTGTGGAAGGAAGGTCAGCTCCAAGACTGCTTTAAGAATCATGGAATACCAGACTGGTTTGGGTTGGAAGTGACCTTAAAGATCATCTTGTTCCACCCCCTGCCATGGGCAGGGACACCTTCTGCTGGTCCAAGTTTGCTCCAAGCCCCGTCCAACCTGGCCTTGGGCACTTCCAGGGATGGGGCAGCCACAGCTTCTCTGGGCAACCTGTGCCAGGGCCTCCCCACCCTCAGAGCCAGGAATTCCTTCCCAATATCCCATCTAACCCTGCCCTCTGGCAGTTTAAAGCCCTTCCTCCTTGTCCTATCATGACATGTCCTCGTCAAAAGTCTCTCTCCATCTTTCCTGAGGAAATAAGTCACCAGTTTCAGGGCTTTTTGAGGAAAAGCCAAGTCTTACACATGTTTGGAGTTATTAAATGCATTCAGGAGACACTTTCAATTGCAATCCCATTATGTCAGTGGTAAAACAACGTCAGTCTCCGTAACCTGGCAGTCCTGAGTGAGCAGCAGCTCCATTTTTCTCTAGCCCCATTGTGTCAGGTACAGGAAAGAGCAGATTTAAAGCAGATTTGTTACTTTGCTCCGCTGCTTTAAGGCCACTGAAGAGCACAGGTGGGACTCTGCTCCAATTGCATGTTTTTCTTTGCTTCAGAACACTCCTTGTCCCTGATCTCCCTCCATCCCTCCTGTGGTGACAGGCAGGTGGGTGCCACTGTTCTTGTGTCCTGCTGCTGTGTCAGGGCATCTGTTTCCTATGGGATTGCTCTCCAAGTGCCCTTAGCCTTCCTTGCCTCCCCCTGCTCCAGAACAAGCTGTTATTTGGAGGATACAGGACAGTCAGGAGCCTGCCTTCCCCTTGACCTTCCAAACTGACTGTTCCTGCAAATATTACAAATATGTTGTTCTGCAGAGAGCAAAACATTCTCACTGGACTGTTGCTGCCCCACAGCATAACCACCTACTAGAGAGGGCTGAAAACTGATGGTCAGGAGTGGTCTCAGTGCCTTCCACGTCACACAGAGTGGCATTATCCCACCAGGAAGCACACCTTGCCTGGGTTGGGTTCATTCTGCTGGCACTATTTTGCCCCAGTGCATTTTCTCTGGAGATCTGCTGCCCTTCTGTGCTGCTTACGTGGGGGAAGCAAATGTCAGCTCTGCTTTTGTCATTAAAGAGCAGAGCATGGAGGGAAGGCAAGGGTGAAAGTGTGCCCTCTAGGATTTGGAAGAGACCAAGCTGAAAAACCTTGACGGTATTTGTTTTGAAACAGTGTCTGCCATGGAGAACAGCTGCCCTTCCAAAGGAAACAAGAGAATCTGCAGCTTTTTTTTTCAGTGTGCAGTGACTGAAACACCCATCACAGGCCTCGGGCTCCACCGTGTATTTTTGGAGATTGATGTTCACCAACACACAGAAATGTTGAGCTTAGGGTTGTTCTGGGTCCTTGCTAAAACACAGCCTCAGTGGGGGTTTTTCATTCTTATTTTTTTGATTTTCTTCTATCGTGCATGAAAAGACTTGCTCCTATGTCAGGTCCCCGTTGCCAAAATTCTGGCCTGAGAGAATTATCAAATTTGAATTTATAAGCCACGTGAACTTTTGAAATTTATCTAAGTCTATTGACATTTGTAATTCCATTACTCTAATACAGCTCAGAAGTAATGGGCTGTAAAATACCATTTTATCACGAAAATACACACTTCTAGATTCTATTCTTGTGCAGACAAATGTTCCACAATAATTCAAAATGGATTATTTTTGCAATGGAAACAGTTCGGCAGTTTTAAAATGTACACTGAAGGTCTTACTTAGAAATTGATGTGGCAAAAAAAACTATTGTTTCTACCAGGAGTTCACTAAGATGATTAATTATATATTATATCTTTATGGACAATTAGTAACACTGGAAGCAAGTTTTGAAAAGTTGTATTTCAGTTTCCTGGTATTTGAACAAAAGATTTCAATTCAAAATAAACCTGCAGTAAACTGGCAGGTTTTGTGAGGAAAATTTTCTTGTGGAAGAGAGGAATATGTGTCAAAACTGTGTGAAAAATGTCTCTTTTTGTGGCAGGTTTGTTCAATGGCCCTGTGAGCGTTTCAGAGCCGTAGGGATGAATGAGAACATATTTTTGAAGGGGCTCTGCCGGTAAATAAATTACAAAAACACAAAAGGTTTCCAAAAGAGTTTAATAAATAATGAGGTTCTTTCTGTACTGTATAAACTATAAATATACCATGCAGTCCTTTATAACTTAAAATAATTTACAGACTGAGGTAGGGGGGTAGGAGGGTGCTGGAGGGCGTAGCTCCCCGGTCAGGGTCTCCCTGATTTCCTGCTGAGCACACACACGCAGGCCGTGTCGATGCGGATGAACCTCCAGGCCGCCTGTTTGCCCTCCATGGTCAGGGCCTTGACGAAGGTGTGGGTGGTGGTGCAGTACGAGTTCCAGTGCTTGGCGTCGATCCCGCGGCACCCGCCCGACACCGGCTTGGGGTCCCTGCACTTGGTCTCGAAAAAGTACTGCTTGAAGACGTTGTTGTTGATGTTGACCTCTCCCAGCACCGTCACCTCTTTGCCTTTAATGTCAGTGGCCGTGGTTTTGTCCCCGACCCACATGCTGACGCTGTCGCACACCGAGAACTCCCCCCGGTGCAGCACGGGGTGCGTGGACCTCTTGGTCCTGGCAGTCCTGTTGAGGGAACCGGCGCCGCCGAGGAATCCCAGACTCTGTCCTTGCCCCGCCACGGGCGGGGGCTCCGTGCTGAACAGCACCCGGGGAGAGCGGAAACGCCTCTTCCGAAAGATTTTGGGGTCCACAGTGATGTTTATGGCTTCTCTCCTGCTCCAAGCGGCGTGGCCGTGGGGCGTCCGTGGGGCTGCCTCGGGAATGTGGTGCCTGTTGCTCCGGTGGGCATCGAGCAGGGAGTGTTCTGCTGGATACTCCAGGGGAGCATTGTCCTCTGACTTTGGAGCTGCCTGTGTGCCGATCAAAAAAGCTACAATCAGAGTGTAGTACAGCATGGACATTACGTTATGCACCTAGAACGAGAGAGAAAGGCACTGTTACTGGGGGCCATGTGGGCACAAAGCGCTGCCGTTGCTGGCCATAAATTTGTGAGATACCCAGGATCATACGGATTTCATCAGGTATTCATGTGGGTGCCAGATGTCGCTCTTCCGGAAGACCTCGTTCAGACAGCATAAATGTTCTTAATAAAGCGAGAACATTAGAAAATAATAGCTAGATTATTATTAATTCCTCTGGTATTTGTTATTAGAGCACTGTTTATGAAGCACTTGTTTGGTGTTATTAATGTGGAGACCATATGGCGACAGCATGTTCCCAGGAGTCAAACCTCCAGTGATTTTTGCAGCAACCTTTTTGGCCAGGGCCGGTCTCTTGGCTGCAAACACCCTGCAGAGGAGTGAAACTAGAAGCTAAACCAGTCTAAACCAGCTGTCCATTCCCTAAACTTGTCTGCAGAGGTGTTTCACCATCCCTGGGGGTTTTTAAGATAAGACTGGATGTGGCATCAGTGCCATGGTCTGGGAACCGTGGTGGTGTTGGATAAAGGGTTGGACTTGATGATCTTGGTCTTTTCCAACCCGTTTGATTCTATAATTCTATGATTCTTGGGCGTGGGGGCCACCAAGCCAGTACCTGGTGCCATTATCACACCCTCAGCAGCCACACTCACCTGCCATGTGGCCAGGCCCCACCACTGGCTGGCTCAGCAGCCTCCAGCAGCTTCCAGCTTTCCCATCTGCCCTTTCAGGACACACCACATGGCTGATTCAGGGCAGATAAAGCCCAGGCTCCTTCCCCAAAGTGCTCAGGTCGTGTCACAAAGGCAGCTGGGATTTTTCCATATTTAAGGACAAATATGGATATTACATAGAAGCACTGTGGGTGCCAGGCTACCTCTGCATTGGCATTTTAGGTACAGCATAGCTGAAACCATTGTGGTCATAGTACTGGGAATTCTGGAGGGAAATACCTGCCCTTTTTCAGAATACCAGTAGCAAGAACCTTCTCAAATGTCCCTGCAGAGCTGATGCAGTGCCAGTGCTCATCCTCCTTCCATCCAGAGGATATGCACATCTGTTTGGGTGTGGAAAAGTGCAATCCAAATGTCTAAACCTTTGCTAAGACCCGTTTTATGCTGGAAGAGCAGCAGCAGTAATACCTCATTGGCCAACCAGCATGTGCTGACTAATTCAGCCACATGTTGGGAACAAGAGACACTCAAAAATGCTCTGGAAATTGCAGTGAAGGGCAGACATTGTGTTTCCTCTGTGAAGACTTAATAAGCAGAGACGGGGTATAAACAGAAAAGCCCAAGCAAGGCTCCTCCCCGTCTCTTTGCCTTGTTTTCCTGACAAGTCTCAGCTGGCCCTGAGCTCTGCTGTGTCCAGCCAGCAGGCAGCAGGCCCCGTGTCCACTGGACAAACAGGGTTTTGTACAAGAGGAATCGGGTTCTGCAGTTCATGCCCTGATTTCCCAGCATGTCTTAATGTTTTTTCTGGGTGTTGGTCAATTATTGTGGCAGTTCCCCCTCTCTGCTCATCTTTCTCAGACTAGAATCCCAAGCAGCACCGAACGACTCAACCAGGGGTTTAGCTTTGCCAGAGAAAAATCCTGTAGAAAATGCAGGATAACCCTAAGATGTCCCACAGGATCTTGTATGTCTTATCTCAGACAGGAGCTGAAGTGACATAAACAGCAGGGGTTGTGCAGGGCTGAGCAAACATTTAGGAAATCAGCAGGAGATGCCAAGTGAAGGCAGTGACTGAGGAGGGTGGAGGTGCAGGAGGAGCAAAGAGAAAGGCCAAAAGCCACGTGAGCACTTTGTCTGTGCAACAGTTGGGCTGGAGGAACTGGGGGCAAAACGATGACGAGGAGAGTCAAATCTTTGTCACGGAGAAAATCCAAAGCAGCTTTAATTTGCTTAAAGCAGGGCTGAGGGTTGCTGCTTCCCCACGTGCTGCTCGAGCTGGAGCAGTCGGCATCATGGTCTGTATAAGGAAACAGAGCTGGGTGTAACTCACAGCCTGGCTGTGCACGATCCAGAGAGTAACCCCTTGTTCTACAACCAAATTAAAATCAGATGGTTCATTACGTGTCTAAAGAGTTAGCTTTTCTGACAGAAATGGTAATGGAAAAGGTTTGCAGAACAAAATCCAGGCACAATTTAGCCATGCCAATAGCAGCCTCAACCTATTGTGTTTATACATAAACCCCTTTTTTATTGTTTCCTTCTATAGGAAAGAGACGTTGCAATGTCAGCAAAGAGCTGGTTCTGGTTTTGTGCTGTACAAGATTTGCTGCTCTAAAATTCAGCTACATTTATGTCCCTTCTCCAGGTTGCTTGTGTTGCATGTGTTGACATTTTTGCTTTAAGGCCATTAACACAAAAGCAGAAAAATCTCTCCTGCTTGCCTTTTCCTCTTTTTAATTGCCTTGTATTTCCTCTCCTTGTAACAGAACATTCTGTGGAGTGTGGAGCAAACACAAACAGAATGTATTTAGGATATGGGGTGGTTTCCCTGAAGATTCAAAGCTGAATCTTTTTATCAATTATTTAGTTAGTGGAGAACAGAAAGTGACACAAAACCAAAAAGTGGACAAGACCTGATGACAACACAAGCAAGATAAGATTTAAAGAATAGGTGTGCCTTAGTCTGCGAGGGTTGTGGGCTTTTTTGCTGGCACACACAGGTATTTTACAGGCTCTTTGGGGATGTTGAAAGGGGTTCTGAGCAATCTGGTCTAGTGGAAGGTGTCCCTGCCCCATGGCAGGGGGTGGAACAAGATGAGCTTTTTCTAAACCATTCCATGATTCTGCATTTAAACTTTGTCACATGCTCAGTTACTAGACCCTTTCATGGTGCTTTCCAGAGATGCCCACAGTGGATGCCAAGTGCAGCCACCTGAACTTGCAGGGAGAGGAGCAGCTGCCAGCTCTGGTGCTGGTGGTACTCAGATGTCTGCGGATGCCATTGGCCACAGAGGCATTTTGACGCCAAAATTACAAACCCTCTGCACTAAACCCCACTTTTATGGTGGTCAAGTGTCATTTAAACACTTCCTCTGGTGCAGCTGCTGTGTGAGGTTGGTCCTGGGTGGTCTGAGCCTGCTGGGAGCAGGGTGAGTGCTGTGCTTACCTCGGACTGTACTGCACAAAGAACTGCTCCCCCAGCAAGGTCCTTATTTCATCCAGAGCTGAGCCGGGCTGGGCTGCAGCATGCCATCGGGCCCTGGGCTGCAGAGCTGAGCCTGGCAGTTCCTTATGCTGTGTTTCACTAGAAGTAGAAGTATTTGTTTCAGTCATCAGCCAGCAAATCAGTGTTTTCAGCACCATTCCCCACTTGACAGCAGGAGGACAGGCACAAACCCACTCGCTTGGCTCTCTGAGCTGGGCCTTTTCCCTGCAGTAAAGAGCTTGTCTAAAGTAGTTCCAGACTTTGCAGAGAACTGCCTTTATTCAGCACCTTTGCCAGACCCAACAATCCACTGCTTCCCACCCCTCTCAGACACCTTCCAGGCTCACCAAACTCGTGTGGTGCAGCAATACCTGCTGTACAAAGTATTGCACTGCCTGAGCTCTGCCTGCACAGATGGGCACACGAGGGCTCACACCCCCAGCATCTGTGTCTGGGAGGCAAATCTGGTTACAATCAGGCTCAGGGGGAGAATCACAGATTGCCAGTTATTGGCAGAGAATCGCCTGATTGTGGCTGATATTTGAGCAGAATTGAAGATGCAGAACTTGCAGACACGTGAAGGCATTTATATAAATGTTTGTCATCTTGCTACTGTAAGGGCAGAAATAACTCCAGTCTTAATGACTGCACTGTGAATGGTCATATAGACCCCAGTTAAAAGGAAACCAGTATTTTCTTCACCAATTAAATCCAGCACACTGACACTTTCTCAGCAAAGTACATTTCTGATTGTAAATTCTCGAGTGCCACTGAAGGGGATAGAGGTAGTATTTTATTAATCTTATGTATTAAATAGCTCATCTGTTCCATTCAATAAGGTAAATAGGGGTTGTATAAGGTACTCCTGTACTGCAGAAATCCTACTGGATTCAGGGTGGGGATTGAAGTGCATTTGCTGAGGAGAACAGACTGCTAATGCCAAAGCATGAACTGGATTCATTTTACACCTGCACCGTGTCTGTCCTCAGGAGAGGAGGCTGCCAGCAAAGGCAGCCACTGGGTTTGGCTCTTACCAACACCCAAGGACAAGCTACTTGATGTTTAAAACCCCAGCTGAAATCTCCCCAGCCTGTTTTCATCAGTGCAGGGCAGAGGAGTCTCTGTGAGTGCTCACTGTGTGGTTGTGCAACACTGTGCAGTGATTCCTGGATTTGCTGCTGTCTGTGGGTCGTGCTCAGGTTCTGCCCTACCTGTGTGTCTCTGTATTCAGGAGCTGAGATAATTACAGCGATATCAACGTGGCAGGAAGGTCAATCAGAGCTCCAAAATCCAAAGCTTTGTGCTACAGATGGGCTGTGCTGGATTTTTGCAGGAATACACCAGTGGAGCACTAACCCTTTCAGTGAACTCCGGGCAGTTTGGTAATGATAGAGCTATAATGTGTTGGCCACTGCCAAAAATAATCCAACAACTTTTCCGACTGTTCTGCCACCCTAAGAAAACACTCTTTCAGTTCCAACTGGCCGGTTTTTAACCACAAAAGAGTTTATTTTCAGCAGGAATTCTTTTTTTTAAAGTTCATTTACCGCCTTTTTCCCGGACTCCTGGTTGTGGCAGAATCCAGTAAATGATGCCGTGTTATTCAGCATCTATATACTATTCCTTTGTGCCTACCACTCCCAGACATTCATAAAATATCCTAGTGAGGTAACTGTTTATTCAGAATTTACGTGCATTCTGGATGACAGACTTGGTGGGTAAAAAAAAAATCACACTTCAATTTTAGTCTCAGCACATATAGAATAGAATCACAGAATCCCAGAATGGTTTGGGTTGGAAGGGACCTTAAAGATCATCCAGTTCCAGCCCCTGCC